CAAACCCATTCTGGGCCCAGACAATTGACGCCACCTGAGTGACAGGCTGAATGGCCACAGGCTTCTTGAAAGCTAACAGATTTATTAATTAAAATCCATTTTTCCTCATTCAGGGGCATTGGGGATACAGAGGACACCCCAACAAGATTGCCAGTCACAACCAAAGAAGCCAACACGGTCTTCCAGGTGGAGCTCGAGACCCCTTCCTCTCATCTGAGATCAGCTTAGGGTGAGAGTTCCGTGAATTCCCCAATAGGCAGGGACAGCTCTACACCCCTGCCCAGCAGGAAGCTGATACAGCAAAAAAGACCTCCTGTCCCTCAACTTCCCATAGAGATTTTATGGGGATCACGTCTCTCAAAGAGAAAACTAGGTAGGCAGTTAGCGGCAGGCATTGGGTCTCTGTATTCCTGCACGTCCCACAGACTGGGACCGCCAAGGGGACCTCCCCTCTCCACCCCAAACTCCCCTTTGTATTGTAATTACCTATCCCTGTGGGAAAACAAATGGGCACAAAATACACAACTAGATCAGACCGGTCACTCGCACCTGTGCAGTACCTCTTGTCAATCACTGGTGCCAATCAAGTGGTCCCACGCCCATAGGGGAACGGCCCATTCTAGAGAAAGGGGATTAAAAACTCCAAGTCTGGGAAGTCCTCCCTGCTCTTTTTGACGGCTTCTTCCCTTTTTGAACCTTTTGGGCCTCTCCTTTGCGCATGGCCCGCTCCAAACCTTTGGAATGTAATTTCTCTTCTAATAATGGGCCCTTGAGCCATTCTCTACTGCTCGGGCCTATTTCTACTTCTTTGAAATGTACTATCTCTTCAAATAAACTACTTTTTCAGTTCTTTACTCGGGCATCTCGTTCAATTCTTTGCTTGAGTTGCCAAGGACCTGGACTTTGTGCCAAGAAGGGCCCACTCTCCGACAACATCATCACTATAAATTATTATATGACCCCAAAAAAAAAGAATCCCTGAAACAAAATTAAAAGACTAACTGGGAGATGATTTGCAACATACATGACATACATACAAAGGGTTAATTTAAAATGAAGAATACAATAAATATATGCAAATTATATGAACAGGAAATCAATAGAAAAGGAAATAAAGAGAAAGAAACCCACAAAAAGCTGTCTGACCTCAATCATAATTTTAAGAATGCTGATAAAAATGAGACATCATTTCCTTCTATCAGACTAACACAATTTGAAAGTTTGCTATTATCCCAAATTGTCAAGAATGTTGGAAAACAACCCCTCTGACATAAACTGGGGGTTGGGGAGCAATTTCATAGTATCTGTCAACATTTTAAATGTACATACCATTGAACATTAAATATATAACCACTGCTTAGGAAATCGTTATTTGCAATTTGATAAAGCAACAAAACCAAAAAACCTCAAAACTGGAAATCACCTAAGTATCCACAAATAAGGGCTTGGCTAAATAAACAAGAAGAAAACGGAATGCTGGGCTTTGATACACAGGAAATGTTCACAATGAACCGAGGTTGAAGGATGGGTGAGAGGGAAAAATGGTGTCATTTTATACCCTTCTGGCCTTTTGGTATTTTTTACTATAAGCATGTATTACCTTTACAGTTAAAAAACAGAAACTAAAGCTAAATTAGCACACGAGTGCAGCAATTCTCTCAAAAGAATAAAAAAATTAAGGTGACTGAAACGTGAGGTTTGTGTCTAAACAGCAGCCTAGGATAGAAAGAAATGCAGGCTTCGGGGGGCTTTGATTCTGCCCAAGGGTTATCTGCTGTGGGGCACTGGGTAGGGCACCTAGCCCTCTGCGCCTGGTGGTCATCTCCAGAATGGGGGATGATATACCTCCCTCCGGGGTCTTGGTGGAGATGGAGATGAAGTGACAAAGTACACAGCACAGTGCTGGAGGCACAGGTAATCAACCAATTCTACAGCGAGTACAAGTTCCCTGATCTACAGAGCATGGGGACACGGGTACATTTTGGAGTCATTTAGAGACCAGCGATAATGACTTGGGATACAGCTCTAGGGAAAACTACCTCATAACTGTAAGATGACAGACATAGATTCCAAATAAGGGTGTCTGTGCAAATGAGACTCAGTATTTCAGTTGGAAGGACCTTAAAGTGATCTAAGTTGAAGGGTTTGCCAACAGGCCCGCAGGCCAAATCCAGCCTTCCACCCTGTTTTTTTCCTGCCTATTTTTGGAAATAAAGTTTTATTGGAACGTAGCCATGCCCACTCATTTATATATTGTCAAGGACTGCTTTCACGCTATAATAGCAGAGTTGAGTAGTTGAGACAGAGATCATGTGGTCCACAAAGCCAAAAATATTTACCATCTGGCCCTTTATAGAAAGTTTGCCCACCCCTGATGTAGTTTGACACCCTCTTTATATGGCTGCAGAAATTGAGGCCCAGAGGGGTGAAATGACTTGCTTGTCAGTTCCTCGCACAGCTAGGATTAAAACCAGGTCTATTACAAAGCAGCATTTTTTCTATTCTGTTCTAGATCTATTATTATTGTAACATGATTTTTTTTTCTGACCATAGCTTTAGCAGGAGTCATTTTGCCTACCAATCCTCAGATGCTGCCACTTCTAACTATGAACCACTCAAAAGAAAAGGTATCTCTAAAATCAACAGAAAATTAAGGATTCCATGGGTCAAAATTCTATTTTCCCATGATTTTTCAGGAACACGTGGTGCCCCACAGATTATAAAGCCACATCCCACAAAGGAAATGTCAGTGAATGCTGATGAATGATTATGAATTTGCCCACAATGGTGGGAAGGTACTACAAGGATTAGCTGAGACCTTACAGGAGAGTGCATATATGGAAAACGAAAAGTCATCTGACCACACTGTGGGGTCGTTGGTTGGAAATGATGGAGCTCTGGCACCAGGGAAAAGTTGGGTAGGTAAGGCCAATGGCAGAGGGAAGAGACAGAATCAGGATGAAGTCAAAGAGACTGTGAAGGGGAGGCAGCTGGGCACAGGAAATGTTCCAGATGTCCTCTATGGAGCAAAGATGCCAACCGTAGCTGGAATGCTGGGCACCGGCCTCTCCTGGGCTCCCATGTGCTCAGGACATGACACCCCGCTTTTTAGAGGAGGCAGCCACTCTGCCAACTCAGGTTCATTGAGAAACTTTGGCCAACCAGCTGACCAAAGGTTGATGGGCCAGCTCTGCTGTTCTGATCCTCCAGGCAAGTGTGACATCTCACATGCTGGCAGCGCACAAGTCCAGGGTGGAGAGGGAAAAGCTCTTATCAAACAGCAACCTCGTGTGAGATACCACACACAGATTATCTGAGATCTTACCAAACAGCAACCTCGTGTGTGATACCACACACAGATGATCTGAGATCCTCCTCCCAAGAGCCCTATGACATATTAGGACCCCTATTTTATCGATGTGTAAAATGAGAATCAGTGACGTAAGTCATTTGCCCAGTCAGAGAGCAGCAGGTGCTAGAGGTGGGATTCAAACCCAGGTCAGTCTGCCTCCAAGGTCCTTTTCCCACTGCCTCGTTCCTAATGTACCTTCTAATAGTGAAGTCGCCGCATGAAAGAGCAGTACGCTGAGGGAGTGAGCATGCCACTAATGGAGGGTCAAGCAGACGGGCTCTGCTCAAGAAGTTAGGGCCAGTGGGTACAGACGTAGCAGAGGGCACTGGCGCTGTGCTGCACGGTAGCCCTTACCTGCTTCTCCAGCTGTGACTCCAGCTGGCCGATGAGCTCATCTTTGTCCTGCACGGCTTTCAGCAAGTCTTGGTACTTCCGATGCAGGCTGCCTGCTGAGTCCATATTCTTCAGATTGGACAGTTTCACCTTCTCTTCCATCACACCCACCTGAAAAGGACCAGTCGTCTCAAAAGGTTGGGATGTGGCACATGACATGGCCATGAACATGGGATGGGACATTTCCTGATGCCCTAGTCCGTGATTCCCAGGCTGAGCCCTTACCCAGGGCAGTTGGGCCAATTAATTCAGTGACCATTTATTAAGCCTCAACTGGGCAAACGAAGGAACTGACAAGGAAGAGATAGCTTGGTGTTCGGTCCTCTAACTCTGGGGGCACCAGTAGGAATGAGCTGAGCAGGACAAATAGCCCTGGAGAGGAACTGCTCCAACCTCTCTATGACAGAGACATTTGCTGCTCACTGCATGTCCATGAGTTCCTGAGATTTCCCAGCCCTCTTGTAATTAGATGGGCATGGGATTCACTCCAGCCAATGGGCCTGAGTGGAATGACATGATATTTCTGGGCTGAAGTGTTCAAGAGCTGGTGCATGAGCACCCAGCTCTCTTTCCCTGCCATGGCAACCAAGCCGGTCACGTGTTCCAGATGGCCCAGCTAGAAGGTGGGGAGCTCTATTAGCCTGGATCTTTCAATCACTGTGTGAAGCAGAATCCCCATGAATCCTCAGTGGAGAGGTACCCATGAGTGAGAACGAAATGTGTTAAATCGCTGAGGTACCAGACTCAATTCGTTACCTCAGCATAACCTAGCCTATTTCGACTAATCCACTCACCCGCTCACTTCACTGACCCTTAGCCAAAGACTCCTTTATGCCCTTAGAAAGCCCCATGCACCTTAATTTGTTCAGAAGTTCTAACACATGACCACTGGTTTTCCTTGTCCCTGAAAGGAGCTATCAATGTGATGAGTGTGTCCATATGAGTCCACGGGAAGGGTCGGAAGAGCCAGTGGTAACTTCCCCTGCACACTCTTGTCAATCCTCCCCTCTGGTTACCTGGGTCTCTGCATTCTCTGCTCTCTGCTCTGCCTCCAGCAGCCTCTGCTCCAGCTCTTGCATCTGCTCAACCAGAGATGAAGAGGAGATATAGGTGTGGTGTACCGACTGTGCACAACATCAAGGCAATGCAAGCGAACTGTGCAGACACTCCTCATGGGCCAGGCTTCAACTGCCTGTCTCAAGTGGTTTAAGGGTGTCAGGGTGAAGATATGTGTGGTAACTCTTAGTTCTCTTACTCTGAATTTATGGTTAGGTGAAAAGCCCATGGTGCTGTCCTCTCTGCTGAGGTGTAGGGAACCCAGGGAGCAGTACTGCCGTCATTCTTCCTAAGGCATTCCCACCTCAGTCTCAGTCCTGCCTCCGGTGTCCTCTCCCTGGGGCCTCTCTCCTCTCAGCACTAGGTGGGTCACAGGCAGTGTCCTGCCACTGTTTTTTGCTCATGGGTCTGGCAAGGAGCATGTTCCCACATGAGCCACCATCATGTCATCAGTTCCCACCCTGGAATAGCTCACTGCCTGGGGACAAATACTTCCTCACCCCATCAAAGATGCCTCTGGCTGTAAATGGCATTCACAGGTATCACCTTATTTGATTTCTTTAATCTTAAAGAAAGAGAGGGGCTCAAGACACATTTTTTAAAATTCTGTCTTGCTACCAGTAGAGGTATGTCATTCAGATCTGAGGAGCTTGGCATTTCTGGAATCTTGAGCCAACTGGCCAAAGCGGAAGGATCACTGTTCTGACACATGGAGGCTCATCAAGGACCAGAACTACGCTCAAGCCTAAGTTGCTGCTCACCAGCCCAGGGCCCACACGGCATCTCTGCAGCTTCCCAAGTTCATGGCTTGGTGAGTGACATGTGGGCTGGATTTCAGCTTCCCCTCGTCCCCTGGTCAGGACTCGGCCCTGTACTGCCCAAACCACACACGATCACACAAAGGCCTTGCAGAAGCAGAGCTGAGTCATACATCCAACTCTCCTGTTAAATGCCATGTGCCAAGGTCTCGTCAAGTCAACTGCTTCCTTCCCCGCCCAGCCCGGTCCCAGGGCAGCACACATGAATTAAACATACATCAGGGGCCCAATATCACAGCCTCATCCTCCATGAGGCCAGACAGGCCTAGCTTTTCAAGATCCTGTGCAGCCCTCGCCGATCTCATCTCTGCAGATGTGGCCTTTGCTCCAGCTACTCAACCTTCTCCCTTTGGCCTGGACCCTGGCTTGATATTTACTGGTAAACTGAGCGATTCCTTCTCTTTCCCAATCTCTCACCTTCTCAGCTGAAATTCTGCTTTCTCTGAATGATGGAAGAGGAGGAGCCCCCAGCCTGGTGCTAGACAGCGAAAGGAGAGTTACCCAGAAGTAACTAGTCTGAGAACTGGGGCCACCTCTTTTCTCAGGGTAGCCCTTTCTCATCCATTTTCCCCCCTGGGATTGGGAAGACACAGATGCTTTCAGTACATATTCCCTTTGAAAGGATCTGAGGTTCCAAACTAAAACTCAAGATTTAAAACAAAAATGCCCCTTGGGCTCCCAATAAACAGGACCACTTTTGACAGGCATTCAGATGCTCAGGCCAAGGATGCTTGCATCTCTTCCTCTCCTGGGTTTAATAATCATGATCAAACCTCTCAACTGAGGCCTGAGAAGGTAGATTGGTTAACTCTGAAGCTACACGAAGATAACAGCATAGTATAAACCAATATTATGGTTATAGGGTGGCTGTCCACCACAAAAATAATTATACTGTGGGCGGGGGACACACATAGGTGGCCCTCAGTGACCCGGTTAGTATTATATAACCCTTCCCACTTTGACACCAGACCTGACAGGGCCAATCAGGTTCTCTCTGCTCAAAAATCTAAAATCTGGGATGGAGAGACAAGAGACAGGAGCCGGGGGCTACACCAGAAAACGTGCACAAACTTCACCAAGTCATAATTGTTAGGTAGTTCCTTCGGTTCTGTGAGCTCTCCCAGGATCCTCCTAATAAATTCCATTTGCTTAAGCTAGCCAGAGTTGGAGTTTATGCCCACATCAGAAACAACTCTAAATAATATAATTACTGGGAACATTTAATTTTTTAAGACTACAATGAACTACTGAATGGGAAGGCTTTGGATTCTTCACGGGTCTCTTAGATTGACCATTAGACCAATTAGATCTAACATCCCCGTGACCTTCTGCAATGACTGTCTGATATTTTGTAACTTCACCTGATGGGAAAACTTCTTCTAATTTACAGATGGAGAAACCAAAATAGAGTGAAGAATAGAATGTGCTTGAGTCCTACCTTCTGGCTGGACATTTTCATTTGGGTCAAGAGTAGCCAGTGACACTGGTTAGAACCAGAAAACACTCCGTTATTGACAACATGGTAAGCATTTTTTTCTCCTCAAGATTTTAACATCCCTTTAAGGAACACTATCACCAAAGCAGATGGAAAGGAAGGGCTCCTCCCAGCCCTGAGACGGCTGCCACAGGGTCCTCACGTTGCCATCTCTCCCAGCTGTTCTTATCTTCCCGGCAAGGACACTCAAGACTCAAAGCATTTTGTATCCACCTTTATGCTGGACTCTTCTTTTTTTTCTAAAACTAATTTCTGAACATTGAAAACATTTTAAACACCTGGACATGTTTTATTTTATTTATTCCCCCCCCCCGCTCCCCCTGGACATTTTTCAAAAGAGTGTAGTGACCATCTATGTGTTCATCACTGTGCTCCAACTATCATCAACACCCCATCACCCTTGTTTGAAGAGAATATTTTAAACATCATGTTTCCCTCCTTTTTTATGAAAATACATTTTCTCCACTGCCACTGAAATAGTCCCAGGTGTGTCTATGCCGGAATGTCATTTTTTATAGCTCTCGAACTCTTAATCCCAGCATCAACGCTTTTCACGATGGCACATCATTCTTTTTTACACTTGCGCAAAGGGCCACACCTGGAGCTCTGCAGGGCTGGCGCTACGGGTGGGCCACCCCTTTTTTGGGTACTGTTTCTCTTCTCAGAGGGTTCCTTAGGACCGTGTCCTCAGCTGTCCTTTTAATCCGTGGGCCTGAGGTGACCTGCCAGCCAAGGAGGTGTCAGGTTTAGGCAGCTGACTTTTAGGCGGGATCCACTTTCACCAGCTGCGACTCGCACGTGAGACTCATAAGCTGCCTGAGAACTGGCTGCAGCGACCTGATGAAATGCACTTGGCACCAACCTGGTATTTAATCCCAGTGTCCACAGCTCCTTATAACACTCAGTGACACTGTGAAATATCAGCCCCACGGCAGCGGGAGCAGTGGGTGTTCTCCTGCGTTCCCAGCACAGTCTGGCGTGCTGAGCAGTGCCTCAGCCAAGAACCGTGCCATCCTGGGTCTTAGCTACTCCCTTAAAAAGGGGGTCCAGCATTCTTGCTACTGCCTTGCACGCACTTGAGAGAATGGTACAGGTAAGCGCTAAGGCTCTGGAACCTGAATGGCTCTGCCATGGTGTGGCTTTAGATAAATCCCTTAACCTCTCTGTGCTTTCGTTTCCTCACCAGTAAACAGTGACACGTCTTCACTTCCTAGGGTTCTTCTGGGGATTACACAGAATGCCTCATGTAATCTCATGGGCACACCCTGGCACTTACTGAGAAGTTTACAGATAGAAGTTACTTGTTGGTTCTCCATATACAAAGATGGCACTTAGGACCAGGGACACCAGTTTGCCTGGAGCAGTCTGGTATTCACCTGTCATCTGAAATAATTAGCAATTGGGCCTCCTTTCTCTCTCCAAAGTGTTCCAGTTTAGATAATAAATTATATGGTCATCCTGCATAGAATCCATCTACAGAAAGAATGGCTTTAAGCCAGAGGTTGCCAGCTATTAGCCTACAGAGTGTCTTAGACCTAAAGCATGTGGGCATTTAGCCGACACAGATATAACTAAACAAGGCCACTTCTAAGTATCTGGCACTGCCTTAAGCACTTTACATGTATTAACTAGTTTAACCCGCATCTCAATCCTAGGAGACAGGTACTATTATTATCCCTGTTGCACAGATAAGGAAACTGCTGCAGAGCAGTTAGGTAACTTGCCTAAGGTCATGTAGCTAGCAGACAGAGCCAGGATTCAAATTTAGGAGTGCTGGCTTCAGAGTCTACTGTATTGTCATCCACTGTGCTTCTCATAGGTCACGTAAAAACCCAGATTCCACAAATAATCCTAACTTCCGCTTCTCTTGAAAACTCAGAAGATGTGGACACACTAGGGTGACATTTCTTACATCAATAGCCACTTCCTCCTCTAGCTGTAGCACATTCCCTTGAATTCTCCCCAGAACCCACCTTTGTCACTGATCTAAATTATCGGCAAGCATTTGGGTTTGCAACTCCCAGTTTTAGCAATTAAATGGTTCTAAATCTGTTGTCATCAAAGACAGTGGTTTTCAAGTTTATTTTTTTAGTTTATCTTTTGTTCAATTGAAATCATATGCTTATTCCCAAGTATATAAAATGCAGTAGGGCTGCCCTTGTGTCTGAGGGCAGAAGAAGTGGGAGAGAAAGGGTTCTAAGTTTTGTCTGAGGATTTCACTGGAACCCTACAGCCCAGACCCTCCTCTGGGCACATGGGGCTCAAGGCATCCACTAAAGAAGGGCAGCTGAATGGGTCCCCAGGGCAAGGCCGTGGCAGGAGTTTATGGTGGTAAATCTCAGACCTCCAGGTGTGTAAGCATCCACATGGACCCTGTTACAGGCAGATTCCTGGGCCTTGTCCACAGAGGCTTTGATTTATCAAGTCTGAGGCCCAGGCCCAGGAATGTGCTTGGAAAAAAAAAAATCCCAGGTGATACAGATGTAGGTGGTTCACAGATCACATTGTGAAAAACACTAGACCGGCCGCAGAATACAAAGCCAAGCTAGCTGATTCCTTTGGGGAGGCAGCGCGGCTGAGCCCCAACAGCACAAGGCTTCTCAAACAGCTTTCCAGGAGTTCAGAGCTCTAGTGATGCTATGGTTCCTGAGAAATACTGTGTGGACCTTATAAAAAATGGGAAGTTAGGAAACCAATAAACCCCTCCCCT